CAATTTCTACCAGAGCCTCCGCCATGGAGTATCGGCAGGTTATTTTCATGCTGTTGTTAATCTGGAGAGCATATCAACGGCAACGGCGCATATGATTATATAATCAGACAACGTGCGATACAAAACATTATAACACATATAATTCTGCAGTAAGGAGGGGGTTTCACCGACGGCAGGTGGCTCTGACTTTTATGTATAGTTTTGAGTTTGATAGTTGTTTTTACTTTACACGACACTGTTCAACCTGTGTTCAACACATCATTCTGCCTCACTCTTTCACTTAAGAAATGAAGACACCCGCGTTCTTGTGACACGTAAATACTACGCTTCCTATGTTTTGGTGTGGACTGCGTTCACACCAGCAATGAACCGCTCCAGAGTTCGCAAGCAAGCGTTCCGAGACCACCTATTTTAGCGGACCACAGTCCGGTTGTTTAGTTAACTTCAGAGGTCTCGGACTGTGTTCACACCGACCCAAACGAACCGCACCACACGGTTAAACGCACCAGGGTTCGATTCAACCGGACTTTAAAAGGCTGGTGTGAATGCGCCCTTAAAAATGGTGGTTGAAGTGGCTAAATGTGAGTGCACAGGTTTTCAGGGAAAACAAACACCTGTCCGCCTTTCATTTGAACTAATGACACTGTGATGTAGTTTGTTTAAACTTTAAAGCAAGGTTTTCACTTTTGGTGATTGCCCTTTTTAATTTTAAAAATCCCAAAAGTATAAAGTTATTTTGCTGAACAAAACATGTTTGTATCATTAACTATTGTTTGCCATAGAGCTTTGTTCTGCAATAATCCAAATTCCAAGTGATTAATTCAAAGGAACCAGGTGCTAACCTTCGACTTGGGTTTTATTAATAAATCATCCCTGCTCTATATGCTGGATTAGCTTTGGCTTGAATGTGTGTCTGTTTGTTTCAGATCTGGAGAGCCTGAGGGCGTTTCAGAATCAGATCGCTTCCATCCAGAGAGACGCTGTGTGGTGGCTTCACACCGTGGTTCCTTCCATCAGCAAAACTGGTGCTAAAGACTACGTTCACTGGTCAGTCACTCTATGCGCTGATGTGATTATTGTTAAACTGCACAAGCTTATCATATTTCTTGCTGCTTTATATGAGACTTCTCTCTTTCATGTCCGCAGCCTCCACAAAGTGCTGTTCACAGAGCAACCTGAGACATACTACAAGTGGGACAACTGGCCTCCGGAGGGTGACAGAAAGTGAGTTTCCCCCAATATTTAGATTGATTCTTATGCTGTGTTACATATTACTTGTACTTATATACAGATAAAATATGATTGATAGATTATTTGTATTGTTTCCACAGTTTCTTCCTGCGCCTCTGCTCTGAGGTGCCTCTGCTGGAGGACACACTGATGCGCATCCTGGTGATCGGGCTGTCACGTGACTTGCCGCTGGGCCCAGCAGATGCCATGGAGCTGGCGGATCACCTGGTTAAAAGGGCTGCTGGAAGTCAGTCTGATGGTGTGTGAAGGTCCACTTAGGCTGTATCTGAATATTTGGACATTTGGTAAACACTTGTGGCTCTGTTTAATGAGCAGGCAACTCAAATCTTTTTTAAGGCCAACTTCCTATTTACATATTATCCTCACAAGTTGCAAAAAGAATGTTAGGGAGGTACGAACAAAGGAAATATGGTTTTGGATGTAATTGTTTTTCCAATAATAGAGCTATTTGATGGTCCCTTTTAAAGTAGATCTGGAGGTCCTGAAGGTGGAAAGGATCCAGCTCATTGATGCCGTGCTGAATCTGTGTACATACCACCACCCGGAGAACATTCAGCTGCCTGCAGGGTACTACAACCTTCTTATAAAAACACTTTGGAGTCATAAAGTTTACAGTCTAAAATAACAAATCATTTTTATTGTTTAAGGTACCAAGCTCCCAATTTGGCCATATCTGCGTTGTATTGGAAGGCATGGCTGCTAATTCTCGTGGTGGCAGCTTTTAATCCTCAGAAAATAGGTACAGCACACCTTTTTACATGTTGCATACATACAAATAGCTATTTCTAACTATTAAATGTTCTTTATTAATATTATCTGATGTTTTTTTCCTTTAGGTCTGGCTTCCTGGGACGGCTACCCTACACTGAAAATGCTCATGGAGATGGTTATGACAAAGTAGGTGTTCATTTTGTATGGAATAGTTCTGGATAACATATTCAAACAACTCACACATCTCTCTCTGGTATCTCCTCCACAGTAACTATACCTACCCTCCCTGTACCGTTGCGGACGAGGACACGAAGACGGAGATGATCAACAGGGAGCTGCAGATCTCCCAGAGAGAGAAACAGGAGATCCTGGCCTTTGAGAGCCACCTGGCAGCAGCCTCCACCAAACAGACCATCACAGAGAGCAACAGCTTGCTCCTGTCTCAGCTTACCAGTCTGGATCCACAGTAAGAGAGCAAGGGGAATTACGTCATGCACCTAGTTAATGGTATTCGTAAAGAAAAGGCCTCGAGGACAGTAACTATACCATCCTACTCTTTAAGACAGGGGTGTCAAACTCAAGGCCCGGGGGCCAAATCCGGCCCGCGACTTCATGTTATGTGGCCCCGCAAGAGCTTCCAAAGATTATAATACGTTTATTATACGGTTACATACCAATTTACAGAAGCACGTTGCCCATAAACTACATGTCCCACGATGCATCTCGTTTTGTGACATGCACACTGAAGAGACTTGCAATTATTTGCCCCAGACTTCTGCTTTCAGACGTAGTTAATTATGAATTTATTACCCTATCCCATAATAATCCAATTCAGAGGCAATAATGTCATATGATACATTATTTTATATATATTATATATTTATATTTATATAGTCTTAAAAGTTACAACCGGCCCTTTGAGTGCAACCATAATGCTAATGTGGCCCGCGATGAAATTGAGTTTGACACCCCTGCTTTAAGACAAGTCAAACTAATTTGATCTTTACCAAAGTCCATATCACCAAATACAAATGACTTTACTATTTTTACAACACCCTCCCAAAAACATTTTATAGGGAAAAAACTTCAGGAAAAGCTACACAGGAAGGATCTGCCTTTCTGAATAGAAGGACATGCATTAGCTCATGTGTGCACAGAATTATCAACCTAGTGAAATGACATAATAGAATGACAAAATGATACAATGCTATGTTGCTAAGCAGACACAACCACCATTAAGCCTCACAACGTCCACTTTGAGGATGGGCCAAACAAATGGAAAGAGAATGAAAACAGTGAAAAAAAGAGATGCTAATTCTCCTGATCTTTATCCAAAAATATAGCAGCCATAACCATGACAACATCTTATTGCTGTCAGACAATTATGTAAGATCTATTAGTCAATGGAAGCACTTGCATTTGTAAGTATTGATAAACAAGTCTTATTGCTGTGTCTTTAAGACAGTTTTGTGTTTGTGTTCAGGGGTCCTCCTCGTCGACCCCCTCCTCAGATCCAGGAGCAGGTGAAGACCCTGAACCAGTCTCTGCGTCTCGGACATCTCCTCTGCCGCAGCCGCAACCCTGACTTCCTCCTCAACATCATCCAGAGACAGGTAATGGACAGGGACCGATACTACACACTACAGAACTGCCCAAACTGTAACACATCTCATCATTTGCGAAACAGACTTGCTTTGTTATCAAATTAAGATCTATATACATGTTTTTCAATCAATGTTGAACTTCAACTGGAGAAAACCTGTTGATGTTGAGTTATTTATTGTCAGCAAAAACATTGATCAAGATTAGTGTGAGCCTGACTTAAATAATACAACAAATCAACACATTATTCTTAGGCTTTAGTCTTCAGTGTGTGTCTTCTAACTGCTATACACTTTCCATCCCCCCAGGCCTCCTCTCAGTCCATGCCGTGGCTGGCTGATCTGGTCCAGTCCAGTGAGGGCTCTCTGGACGTGCTTCCAGTGCAGTGCCTGTGTGAATTCCTTCTGCATGACGCAGCGGATGACAGTCTGCCAATAGAGGATGACGAAGAGGGAGAGAGCAAAGAGCAGAAAGCCAAGAAGAGACAAGTATGTTGATTACTACACCATACCATACTGTTGGCAGGCAGCAATTACTGAAAAACAACCCTGCTTTGACAATCGTCTGAATTTGTTCTCAATAACTGGTCCTTATAAGTCTCAGAATGAAAATGCTAAATTTAAACTTAAGCTTTTTATTCTTGTGAGCAGCTCATTACTCACTCTTGCATAATCATCTGTCTTCCTGTTAGAGACAGCAAAAGCAAAGGCAGCTGCTTGGACGGCTCCAGGATCTTTTGTTGGGTCCTAAGGCCGACGAACAGACAACATGCGAAGTGCTGGACTACTTTCTGCGCCGCCTCAGCTCTTCTCAGGTGGCATCCAGAGTCCTAGCCATGAAGGTACCGTATTGGATCCAAAGGAAAACTGCTTTAGAAGTATTGTGTTACTGTTGAACAGAATTATTTGACATGATATTCTTGTGCGTAGGGTTTGTCGTTGGTGCTGAGTGAAGGAGGCTTGAAAGATGGAGATGAGCGGGATCAGCCCATGGAAGAAGATTCTGCTGATGCTGAGCTGTTGCCGGGATACCAGTGGCTGCTACAGGACCTCCCAAAGCTCCCCTTGTTTGACAGCGTCAGAGGCATGACGTCCACCGCCCTGCAGCAGGTTGGTGATGACTTAACAACTGTCAATAACTGAATGTAAACCTTTAAGAAATGTTTTATAATAATGGAGTTTAACACTTGTCTTGTCTCTCTGCTTTCTTGAAGGCTATTCACATGGAGACTGATCCACAGACCATCAGTGCCTATCTCATCTACCTATCCCAGCATGCACCAGTGGAGGAGCAGGCTTCTCATAACGATCTGGCTCTGGTAATCACTAAATCCATCACATCGTTTTTCTTTAAGGAGATGGATCTGACATTTCTTAATAGGATGAATGAGACACCTATCCAGAGTTTCGAGATGCAGACAGGCGTATAGAGGGGAACATGTTTGCAAAAGTAATAGATATTCAAACACCTAAAAACAAGGAACACCTAAAAAAGGAATACTTGTTTAAGCATACTCTATATTTGGAATAATTGCAATGCTTTCCTATACTGCCAGAAATCCCTTTTTGAAGAATTGAAGTGTTCGTCCAAGCTTTCTTCTTTGACTAAAACTGAAATGTAACTTGGCAGAAAAACACAATGCCTGGTCTGCATCTGCCTTATTAGATTTGTCTGTGTTTATAGTGTGACTTTGGTGAATCCAAAATGCCAAAGTGAGTTAGATCATACACTATTACCTCATACACTCCAAACAATCCAAACTGTCCCTTCTATGTGTTTTTGCTTTAATGGAGCAGTACTGACATGAATCATCTGTTCCTCTATCACTCTCTACAGGACGTCGCCCGGCTTATCGTGGAGCGTTCCACCATCATGAACAGCCTGTTCTCTAAGCATTCCTGCAGACCTGAGTCTAATGCTGTGCTCAGTGCCTTCCTCACCATCTTCTCCACATACATCAGGAGGATGAGGAAGACCAAAGAGGGCGAGGATCTCTACAGCTGGGTGAGCATTAGGGCTGTCCCGAATACCATTTTTCGGGCTCCGGATATTCGGTAGTAATCAGAAGCGAATATTCGAATATTCGGTGCGGAGAGATTTGTATTTTCTTTTTATAAAAACATTTTTCAAAAAACATTTTCTTTTCAAAAAGGTTTCATAACACGCTCCGAATCCGAGACACCTGACAACACGCTGTTAAGCAGAAGCGCAGAAAGAGCATAATATTACGATTTATATTTATTTATTGTCTCAGTACTCGCAAACATTAAAACTAAATGTGTCCTCTGTAGGGTAACTGTAGGGTCTGCTGTATTGTTGAGGATGTTGATGGCTGGGATGCGTTGCACAAGTTATTATTAGGCTGAGCTACTCAACTCAACCATTGCCTTAGCCCCAGATGTTCCCACATTACTCCTATTATTTTCACTATTCGGATAAAATAAAAAAAACAATTCGGTAGCTTGCTTGCAACTATTTTCCAAGCAAAGTAAGTGCACGTTTTTATCATGTGTAACGTTACTGTTTAAACGGCGGATAAAGCAGCTTCATCATGGCAACTTGACAACAGCTAAGCTAGGCTACTACTTACAGCATCCAGGTGACTTTTCAGAGTTGTTGTACCACCGTGGTAGGCCAGTTTCTTATCGCATATTTGGCACATATTCTTCTTACCGTCGTCCAATTTAAAATGGTCCCACACAGCTGAAGTCTTCGGCATTTTGTTGGTGAAACGAGGTGAAGCGTGCGGTTTGCGTTAGTGACTGTGAGTCAGGGGCGGACTGGGAGGAAAAAGTGGCCCGGGGATTAATTGAGAGACAGGCCCACTTAATGCGCGGCATGTATCGGCCGGCCGGCGACGAAAGTATGTTACTTAACAAAAAACCCTATGCATTTAATGTTATTTTGGACCATTATTCATATAGTAATCACATTACCTGAGCCCTTGAGTTGCCAAGAGCAAAATAGTTACAGCATATATTTAGTGATTTTAATGTTAACAGATCATTGATG